CCGTCGTCAGTCAACCCCACCCCGCCTCCCCCTCCACCTCGTCCCCCTTCACGACCCAAACTTCCTCCAGGGAAACCTAGTGTAGGCGATGCGGTAAGACCTTTTTTAATTTTGTCACTCTTATCTTTCAATTCTTTGGTTCTGATTTGGGGATTTAGGCATTGTTTACCTTTGAGTCAAGGAAGAAGTGGCAAAAGAATAATCATTACATCGACTTTCTTAATCAGGGTTTAACTTGATAATCCCAAAGAGTTTATAGCGGCTGTGTACATAGTATTTAAAATGCTGCATGCTAAACCGCTTCTTGTTTCCTTCCCGTCTCTCCTCTCGTCTCCTTTATCTCTGTTCAGAATCGCCCATTCAGCCCACCGATTCACTCGGCCAGCCCTCCACCCATTGCTCCGTTGGCGAGGGCTGAGAGCACCTCCTCCATCTCCTCCACCAACTCGATGAGTGCCGCCACCACTCCTACTGTGGGCAAGGAGCTTTCTGTGTCTGTGACAGGTGTGTGACCCATCCGCTCAACACTGCAGCACGTCTCCTGGTGGATGTGGAGGTCACAGAGGCTAGCAGGAGCATCTTCTGTCATTATATTAAAAGTTTTACATGCATTTTACGAACTTTGCATGTAGCGTTTGTGCGCATGAGTCATGCACCTGTGCATTTACTCATTTTATTTGTTTTGGTTCTTTTTGTCTGGAAATGGCAGCAGTTTCACCTTTGATGTTGCTTTGCAGCATCTAATTATCACAGAGCGAAACCTTCTAAAACATGCAAATGATCGTTTTCTGTTTACATTTCTATTTATTGATAAAGAATTAATTACACCTAAAGATATATATCTATATCTAGATATAGATATATATATCTATATCTAGATATATATATCTATATCTAGATATAGATATAGATATATATATCTAGATAGATAGATAGAGATATATATATATATATATATAGAGAGAGATATCTATAGAGATAGATAGATAGAGAGAGATAGAGATATAGATATCTCTATCTAGATATAGATATCTCTATCTAGATAGAGATATAGATATCTCTATCTAGATAGAGATATAGATATCTCTATCTAGATAGAGATATCGCGATATCTCTATCTAGATAGA